CAGTTTATATCATATCATGAACAATTGACTGTTTATTCAGGTTCAAAACAACCTGAACGGAGAAAGTCTGGAGCACAACCTGTTCATCAATGGCTGGCAATTCTTTTGAAAGGATTAAGATCAGCCTGACTAACCTCGTTTCTGAATTTTTATTCAAAGAAATTGTAGTCTCAAACGAGCTCTGTTGGTGAGTTGGTGAGGCTAATTTAAGGTTACTTCAAACCTTCGCGGGGCTATATTGGTCGATTTTTTTTAGTCAAGAAAATTAACGTCCGCGAAGCACAAGTTTGCACACTGTGAACGCTGGGGTTCTGTTATTTCATTGGCTCGCGGCTTTCAAGTTGACATATTCCTCTGTGAAGGCGTGATAAGTTTATAAATCTTTAGAAGGCGAAAACTCGCACTCGTTTTTCGAGAGAATCCCTTTCTCTTTAAATGAATTAATATGGTATGCAGATTTGATGGTTTTCCATGAAATTTGGTCAGAACATTCACTGATAGATATGGAACAAAAGCATGTCAGCGAATTCCTTTATTTTAAATACTTTCCTCGTGGCGACCTTTAACGTAACAGGTTACGCGAATTTTTCGATAGTCGAACTTGACAGATGACCAATAGAAATAACAGAAAATGCTGACACGTGTTTGGAGATTGAGGCTTCGGGATTAACACTGCACAGTTATTTTGCATGAACGATCGCATTTGATACCCGAATAACTCGCTGGAACGTCAGTCGGTAATTTGGAGTTGACGGCTTCTGCCGCCTCTGGAAAGCAAAATCCAAAACAAAACATAACTTTATCGAATTCTACATTTTATTACCTTTCTGTTGATATATAGTTTGTGGGGGTTACCTTGAAAACAGCGCGCGTACGAATTTTTTTCTGGAGGACTCTCGCGAAGGTTTGAAGTAATCTTAAATTCATACGAACGAGTTTAAAAATGGCAGCCATAATGTTATTTAATAATACTTCATTTTTGGTTTATATAAGCTGTTGCTCTGGGCAAAAGTTCCGCTTTATAATCTAATTAAGGTATCAAAGAGAAAATATAACCTGAACGAAATTTACACAATTACACAGTTTAGCTCATATTTTACGTGTAAATCTGTCTCACGCAGACTGTGGCACCTAACTATAATTAAACCTCAATTTATAGATATTGCAAGTCTGTCTCTTAATG